CGCGATGCAACGTCGTTTGCCTTTTTTCCCTTTCGTCGTCCTCCTTTCCCTTTGTTTCGTTTCTCCCGCCGAAATGCAAGCGTATCCGCGAACTCGCGGCAAGGTTGCTACCCGACGAGCACCGCGTGGGCGCCGCAATCGGGTTTGCATAGGAAACGGCTGGAAGCTTTAACGTCGCGGAGGCGAAATCATAAATAATAATCGCGGGATTATCGGTCGATGCACGCGCGCGTACGCAGCCCCGGCCAGACGCGGTCGACAAATTAATTCCGCCAGAGTGGCCGGTGCAAGCACCAAGAAACGCGAAGCTCGATGAATAATGAACGGTGTCGCTTGTCAGGCCGAATGAAAGTAACATCGAAAACGATTAAGCGGCGCAGAAACCGAACGCCACTCGTTCGCCGTTGTGTATCGTTTTACCACCTTTCACTGCCTCCTCTCCGAGCTTCGCGATCGCTCTTTGTCCCCGGTTTCTTCGATTCTCCTCCCAGATACCTTTCCATGACCCTCCAACCTCGATTCAGCCCTTAGGACACGCGTCGAGAGCGCCTCCGTGTCCACCGAGCCGCGCAGATGTCCAAAGTTTCACTCGACGTCTCGGACCAGCGGTTCGGGCATTTCTCTCCGGGGCGCGATTAATGTTTCAATTTCTCGCGTGCAACGCAGTCATTCCCGATCGGATGTAATTGACCGGCGAATCGCTGGAAGTCGAGAGAGGAAGGGCCCCGGCGAAATTTCGGTACGCGATTTCGCGACCGGCTTTATCGTCGCTTTCGATCGGCCGAGAGCACCGGCTCGCTGGTCCCTCGCGCAACCACCACGGGGTAATTACGATATTACGGCGGCGACATCGGCTGTCGAAGCAATTACACCGATGACACGACGCGGCCACGCTGGCAGGCCGAAAATTGCGCGCGGGGCCCGCCTGTCGCGCGTTGCGCGATATTTCCGCGTCGCGGCCCGTATGAATTTAGCCGCGCGTCGCGCACTTTATCTGCGAGCAGGCGGTGCTTAAAGGGGCCCGCGTCGTAATTAAATGCCGGCACCTCTTGGCCCCGTTATCGGCAGGAACGATCGTGCCTCATACGGAGACCCGTGCAACGAGGAAGAATCGACGCGCCCGTCCTTCTTCTTGTCTTCGTCCTCTTTTTCGCCGTGTCCCTCCGTGCCCGAACGCGCTGGAACGGGGAACACGGGTCCGTGGATCAAGATCTCCCGAAATCCGTCGCGCGCTTCTCGCGATGCTTTCTCGTGCTGCGAGCACGATAAACGAGAGAGAGAGAGAGAGAGAGAGAGAGAGAGAGAACTCGAGGGACCGTTCTCGATGCGAGACCATGCGAGGCAAAAAGCCGCAGGATTTTGTAAGACATCGAGTCTTCGTTTGGTCGACGACAAGCGTCGAAGGAAAAGCCAGACGAGTGCCGGTTAATTGCGCAAAGACGATCGCGCGAGGTGCAATCGCGACATAATAGCGGCCTGGCCGAGGGCGAACAATAAAATGGCTCGTAAAGCATCGAATTTGAATATCCCGCGCCGACACTCCTCTCCGTTACCTTCTTTTTCCTCCGACCTCCCGCTCCCCCGTCTCGGGCTTCCTCTCCTCGCCGATCAAAAAAAAGCAGAGTTGCGTCACGCAAAAAGAAACGACCGATTGAAATCTTCCCTGTGCCCGACAACCCGGCCAGGGACGTGGTCCGTTCGGGTAACAAGTGGCGAACGGTTATACGCGTTACACGAACGGTGTTTACCACGCCGCAGGGACGCATTTGACGCGTCCAGATTTCCCGATACACCCGCGCACGGCCAGCCGGAACCGATCCAATTAATGGCCGTGGCTCTTAACGAGTATCCTCGCTTTTCTCCTTTTTCGAACTCCGATCGATCCAAGAGCAATATTTCGATGTATATTCCCGCGCTTACTACTTCATCGCGTCGTCGCGTATTAAAATAATAAAGTAATAAAATAATAAAATAATAAAATAATAAAATAATAAAATAATAAAATAACGAAATAACGATGCCAAGAATGAAGCGAAGTGCGATACACGTAGACACTGAAAAATTGGTAAACGAAATTTTCGATAATTCGATAAAATTCGAGGGAAATGCAGAAAAAGGTAAAGCTCGGGAAGGTGGCCGATGGAAGGAGAAAAATTTGACGAAATCGCGACAGGCTTTGCAAGACGAGGCGTAATTTCGTACGCAACGCGTACGCGAAGCATGCGGCCCTGGAGTCGCACTTATGGTACACGTAGGTGAATGTCGGGAGAGAAATCATACCGGCAAGGACGACAGCGTGCGAGAGGCAGAGGGTGAACGAGAAAGAAACGCGGAGGCAAAGAGAGACAAACCACGCCCGGACTCATCCCGACTTTCTAGAAACCGAAAACTGGATCGTGGCTGGCGGCATGTGGATCTCGGCCGATCTCGGGCAACGTCAGTCGAGCTTGATTCACGTAACAGATGTCAGTGTTTAAGGATCGTGTGCCCCGCCTTTCCTTCTTCTTATTTCGCCCGCCGTTCCACGGAACCAGCTACCGTTTCCCGTGGACATTACTCACGAAGTCGCTCGGAGAAACTCCACCTTTCGGGAGATAAAGCGCTGCCTCGGGCTCGCTCGAGGGAAACGAAATTCCGAGAAGACCGCTTCGCTCGCGATTAAGTTACCGGAAATCTGCGAAGGGAGAACGCTCCTCGAGAGCCACTCTCGGTCGATTAAGCCGCGCAGGCTCGTTAAACCAGCAACGACCTACCAAACGTTCGAATTAACCACGAGGCACGGAGATATCCTCGTAAAGCGCGCCTTTAAGATCGCGTTATCTCGCGACGGACGCGTTACGTCGTGGTCGTGGTTGGCCAGAAAAATCTGATTAGCACGCGAGAGTTTCTCCGACTGACAGACTCGGATGGGAGCAAGGGAAAGTACGATATGTAAATCGAACTTAATCAACGAGATCTAGACGGATGACGCGACCGAGCAGGGGCTTTATATCCTACAGGGATAGGATCCTCTAGAACGTCAGCGAAATCAGTCAGCGAAGAAAGGGAAGAGAGCAACGGGATCCCCGTCCAGCGAGCATCCTTCGATGCTGCAATTCGAAATTGGCGAGTTTATATTCTATAGGGACAGGGTCCTCTAGAACCTAGTCGGCGAAGAAAGGAAGGAAAGCATCGGGATCCCCGTCCAGCGAGCATCCTTCGATGCTGGAATTCGAAATTGGCGGGTTTATATTCTTCTATAGGGACAGGGTCCTCTAGAACCTAGTCGGCGAAGAAAGGGAGGAGAGCAACGGGATCCCCGTTTAGCGAGCATCCTTCGATGCTGGAATTCGAAATTGGCGGGTTTATATTCTTCTATAGGGACAGGGTCCTCTAGAACCTAGTCGGCGAAGAAAGGGAGGAGAGCAACGGGATCCACGTCCAGCGAGCATCCTTCGATGCTGGAATTCGGAATTGGCGGGTTTCGAGCTGACCATCGGTAACGACTAAATTCCGGTAATAAAGGTAGAGCGTTGTTAGAGAAGCTCGAAAGAACCGTTTTCCCCGCGCGGAATTTATCTCGCCTTTTTGCACGCAACGATAGGTTAACGACTCGCGAACGAAACCGTTCGACCGTTCTGGATCATCGAACCTCGTCTCGACCGCTGTTCCCGAAGCGATCCGTGCACTTTCGATTCCAACCGGACACCTCTCGGTCCGCCACGCGTTCTACACACTCGTAATTAACGCTTTTCACTATTGTCGGTCGCGAGCTTTTTGCTCCTGCTCCTTTTACGCTGGAACGGGCTTCTTGCACCGTCCACGGCTCCTCTCCTTTTCCCTTTCCTCCTTCGTTCCAACCACTCCGCCTCCTCTCCCTTCTGCCCCGCGTCGACAACCCTGTCGCGAGTGGATTTCTCTTTCGTTGCAACTGGACAACCAGCTGAGGATTAGCTTCTTCGGTAACTGGATCGAGTCGCGCGCAACCACACCGGCCGTGAAAGGATTCCGCGATTTCTCGCGCCACCGGAAGCTTCCCTCGTCGGCAGATTTCCGATCCTCGATCGATCGGTCGCGAAGAGCGGGATTCGAAATGGAAACCGACGAATTTCGCGGGACTCGCCGCGTCGCGGTCGCGCGCGCCGCCGGAGACTCGAATGCCAGCACAAGAAACGATTTACGCGGGGATTTCAATGCCAGATAAGGAAGCGTTTAACGCGACGAGTTATCTTCGTCCCGATGCCTTCTCGCGATCTCTGTTCACCGAACACTCGGTTATCTCGTCGCGATTCCTTTAAATGGCGATAATAAAATCGTAATTTGCGAAACGGCGCGATTTTTCTGCCGGACACGTTTCACGCGCCTTTGTCGAACCAGTTCTCGCGCGAGTACTTGTACACTCGGTCGTGTCCGTGGAAATTATGGAAACGGATCAGTTCGAGGAACAGTTTTACGAGATCGGGATCAAAATCGCGCGAGATACGACGGTCGTTGATTAAGACGGATAGCGCGTGTCCAAGAAAGGAGCTTGAACCAACGGCCGGCGCGTTGCGTCGCGCGGGGACTAAATATGAAAAGATTTATACATTTTTACGACCTTGTTACCGTGATCCATGGTAGAAATCGGTGACTGTATATCCGACATGTGTCGGATACTAATGTGTCTTAATATAGTCCAGCGTGACGTCAACAGATAAAAATGCGAGTAGTTCAAAAGATCGGGAGATTAATTTCTGCGGCTTCTAGAGTGGCCGGTATCATCGCCTCTGGCCAGAGAACATTTATCATGCCATGGTCGACGCTTTGATGTATCACGACCAGTTTCACGAGTTGTTTACGCCTCGTAACAGGAAAAATTCGTGAATCCTCCCTCTTAATCCGAATGTTACGTAATCGATAGGATACTTTGGCCAGCGTTAATTCACAAAATCACGGCATCGCTTGAAAATTGAAAATTTAAGCGATCAAACGATAATTGGGGGCGTGTTCGGTAAAGGTTAACGATTTGTCGGTCGTTTCAGATCATTCCGAGCGACGAGCAGGAGCAAAGCCGAGGGTGACAGAAGCGGTGTGATGAGCGGATATCTCGGTAACATCCCCCTGCCCCCAACGTTGTTGCACGACCCGAAGTATCCTCCAGCCATGCGGGAGAAAGACTCGAGTCCAAGAAAAATGCCGGGCCACATCAGCCCTAAGCAAGCCAGCATCTATCCTCTGAGCGTTCGCGTGCCGGACGTGGAAGAACTGCCATACGATTTGAGCCACGGCCACGGCCGCGGCCTCTCGAGTCCCACGAATCAGCAGCAGCACCGGCAACAGCCTCATATGAGTCCAGCTGCCAGGCCGCCTCAGTCTCACCACCAGGAGGATCTCGACTGCGAACCACTGGACCTTCGCGTCGACCACAAGAAGGAAAGACTCACGGACGAGAATCAGAACGAGATAGAGGTTCTGAATCAGAACAGCCTCGGCGGGAGTCTTCCCTATCACACGGTACTGTTTCCTCAGCATCATGCCGTTCATCCCTTGGTCCTCGAAGCCATGTACCGGTCACACCATCACGGCTCCTCGGTTCCGGATCTGCCCAAGATCCAAGTCCGGGCGTTGCCCACCATGGTCCCATTGCCGCCCAACAGATTCTCATCCACCACTTCCTCCACGTCGTCCTCTTCGTCCCAGGCTGCCGCCAGAGTCCCGAGTCCCTCCGGTGGCCAGCAGCATCAGCCACCGCAACAGAGTCATTCGAGTCAACAGCAACAGCAGCAGCAACAGGCCTCCAATCTTCCACCCTACTCCATCAGCGTTCAAGCCGGTCTAAAGCCCAAGGACAGATACTCGTGCAAGTTCTGCGGTAAAGTGTTCCCTAGATCGGCCAACCTGACGCGGCACCTGAGGACGCACACCGGCGAACAGCCGTACAAGTGCAAGTACTGCGAGAGGAGCTTCAGCATCTCCAGCAATCTTCAGCGTCACGTGAGGAATATCCACAATAAGGAGAAACCGTTCAAGTGTCCCCTGTGCGAGCGATGTTTCGGTCAGCAGACCAACCTCGACAGACACTTGAAGAAGCACGACGCCGATGGACCAACGATACTGGACGAGGTTAGATCGAGGTACCACGGACAGCTGCCGAGAGCGGACGAGTCTTACTTCGAGGAGATTCGCAGCTTCATGGGCAAGATCACTTCGCAGAGACAAGGGATACCTTATTTCCCGGGGCTGCTGGGCCACGGCGGGGACGACTTCAGGAACGACAAGCAACAGCTTCAGCTGGAGGAGAAGAGAGGCGACTCTTCCTACTTCAGCGACAGGGATAATCTGAGCTCGAGGTCGAGCAGCACTGCCAGCAGACCCGAGAGCGTGCAAGAGGAGCAACGGGAAGTCAATTCTCCTCCGTTGTCTCCTGGCAATAACACTTGAGTCGAGGAACCGGATCGTACGTCCGACGAGTCCTTGTCGGGTACGATTAATTAGAGATCGAAGCATCAATCGAATAGGTTCCGTCGAATTCGAATATCTGCAAACGGCGTCGGCTTCTCCCCGAGGAACCGAACTTTTACTCGCGAATATTTCCACTATTTTTACACGCCGGATACCTTCGGTTAATCTCACCTTTTCGCGCAATTTTCACGTTTCGCAACTCGAAATTACCACGCGCGCTTCTAGACGCCGATCTAGGACGAAGAAACGCCTTGCTCCACGTGCCTACAACGTTCTCCGAGACACTCGTAGCGCGATGCCTTGCGACTAGAGGACTAGACGACAAAATTCGCTACGAGCACCGCGATATTTTAGGTACGAAACGGTATGAAATTTTAGGTATCATCCTAACGAGACACCCGATGCACGCGGAACTATCCGTTCGTAAATTAATCGGCGAAGGAACGACAAGGGAGGAACTTGGTGCAATCGGAGACAGACTTTCGCGCGATCTTACTCAGCACGATCTCGATTCCTTCTCGTACTTCGAGGATTAATTCGTCGAACGTAACAAGAGACGACGCGAGAGATCCGTAACGCGGGTCGACGAACGACCAGAGCGAGCGTCTCCCATCGCATTCGTTCTTCCTCGTCCAACCGTATGCAAAATTACCTTATTTATTTCGTTTGCAACGAACGACGAACGAAATCGGCAGGGTGGGGCAAAGAGCGAAGAAACGCGGGCTAACTTGGTTCCGGCTGGAAAGAATGGCAAGCAAACGCCTCGCGATTTTACGACCTAGAAAGTGAATTTCAACGACTCCACCGCCCCGATCCTAATCCGCGGTACCGATCGCCGATCTGCCAACGACAGACAATAAAATAGAAATCGATGGGCGGATCTGTGCGGTTGTCGATCGGGCTGACTGGAAATCGTCCTCGAGCGGAAGGAACGGGGAACCGAACGCCCGCGACACGAGCCATTAAGTTCTTCATTGAGGAAGTCCGAGACGCGCGTTCGGAGCCTGGAACCAGGTTTCCATAAAGCAAGAAATTATCCAAGAAGCAAATTATTTTCGCATTTAAATCGTTCACGGACCATCACGGGGTCCGCTGTCATCGGTCCCGGTCTGTCCGCGAGTCTAAAAAATTGCCGCGTGTCAAACGCGCGGGTATTGGGAAATTAAAGTTACGCTCGAAGAGATGAATTTCATATCGCGGACAGGTATTGCTTGACACGTGGGAAACCGTGCAGGAAAAGCGGCTTCCTGTTGCCGCCGATGATTACCAGAAAGACTCGATGAAGCCGGTGAACGCGCTATCGGCTGGATCCCACACGATCCAGTCCCTCTCGTTTCCTGCGGATGGTCGCTGAAAACCGTACCCAGGGCGAACCGATCCGTCAGCCTTCCGCTCATGACTCCGCTCCTACGAATTCGTCGGCACTTTCTAATCGGCGCGAATGTACGGGTGGTACTCCGACCTTGGGAGTAAGCGGGCCGGTTCGATTAATTACCACCGATCTAGATCGAACGAGCGGGAACGGAGAACCGCGAGCGCGAGTGTTTCTAAAATTGGCACCGGATGGTTACGTGGGCGATTCGTAATCGGTTCGAAATCCGCCCGGTGGAAAGTTGCTTTTTGCGCTCATCTCGCTCGGGTTGGACGAGATTCGCCGCGTTTCGTGCGCGCGGAGGCTGGTTGAGCAACGGCGATTAGGCGATTGGCAATAGAGGAAGCTCGGGTCGGGAAACGCGCAATCTCTGTAGGAAAGATCGGAACGGTGGCGAGAAGAGATGAACGCGAGTTCGGAGATGTTTAAATTGGGGAAAATGGAAGCGCACGGGCGGACGTGAGCGAGTCGAAAAGCGAGAGGGAGGCCAGGGAGCGCGTTCGAAGCGATCGAATCGGCTGCCGGCGCGGTACTAGGTGGCAATTTATCGGCACTTTCTACCATGTACCGACATTCACTGCAAGTAGCGCAGGTGCAGAGGTGCACGATACAGCGGCACCGAGCTACGCGGTCAGGAGATCCTCTTGACCTTGGTAAATGCGATCGACGAGCGGTTAGGCCGAAAGCGCGTCGAGGAGCGGCTGGGCGTCTTCTTTCCCAAGAAATCCACGGTACCGCGAATCACTGATCCAGGGATCGTTGGTCCACGGGGTCTGTGCGATGACGCGTGAGAAACGAATTGCGCTTTCTAATTCGGAATGTCGACGATCCTCTAAATTATAGGAATCGTCGACTGGATGGAACGCGAACGAAGAACCGCGACCTTGATAACCGGCCGATAGGAATCGCGATCGTTCTAAACGGATCGAGCAGCAAAACGAACGAGTTGCAAAGCCTGGCAAGGCAGATAAAATCGTGGTCGAAGTGGCGAACAAAGGAAAAAGCAACGTCGGTTAGCTCGATGCAACTTTGATACGTTATCTCGCAACATTTTCGCAACGTTCAACGTCAAACACATCCTGTCGAACGTTGACTATCGATACCGACGACGGAGATCGATAACGGGGATGAAACATTGAAATTTATTTCACGGCGGGGGTCACGAGAGTAACCATAGACGAAAGGATCATCATCGAGGCGACGCGAGTCTCGCGGAGCCGGAAAGGCGGACAGAGGCGATGTACTCTTCATCGAGGCATCAGCATGCGCATCGGGAATCAGAGGATTCGTGCGGAGTGGCAGCAACGGAGCGTCCACAAAATCCATTTTAAGAGCGAGCCGATTTCGTAAGGAGATCGATGCAACGCGTTACGAGGACGTGGCCCGAGGTGTGACTAAGCTTCTACGGTGTAGATATCTCTCTCCTCCGCGACGCTACGCGAAGCCTCGAGAGAGGATGGCAGGCCCTGTTTGTCTTGCCTCACGCATACGATCCCGGCCGACGATGGCCTCGGACCTCTCTTGCGTTACACTTTTGCCACGCCCCGATCGGACGGGCAAGCTCATCGCGAAAGTGAAACGCAATAAAGGAGCCACACCGAGCGAGAGAGTCTCGACATCCATGAAACGCTAACGGAGAGATACACCCGAGAGAAGGAACGAACGTCCCCGCGATCCAGACAGAGAACGGTGGACGAATGGTGAACGAGGAGAGAGGAAGATCGATCGAAACCTCAAGGCTTGGAAATCGGTTTCCTCGCCACCTCCCACAGTCACCGATCTGCGACCGAGCGTATTTCGACCGAAATTCCCGAGCCGATTTGCCTCGCCGATCCGCGCCATCTCGTTGCAGATGTTGCTCCTCGAATACGTTTCCTCCTCTCTTCGTTCCTCGGCGGTCTTCGTGTTCCGTTTCCAGAGATCAGCCAGTGCACCACCGTTGCGACATGTCCCCCGAGTGAATGCTCATCCGAAACTCAGTCCGCTGCGCGTCTTCTCTGAAAGTAGAAACATTATTCTTTTCTCTTCTCTTACTCTCTTGCCCCCCTTTTTTAAATTATTCAACGCCGATATCGCAACGCCAGAAAGACGAACGAACCTTCGCTATCTTGCTGGAATCACTGCTAGTTTCCACGCTAGGCAATCCGTCGACCAGTTTCCCCCGGCAAGAGAGAAGCCGCGAAATTTCTCGGGGACGAGTCTATCCGCAAAATCGCCGCACGATCTCATCTCGTTCCAGTTTACGCGCGTAATTTCGCTGGACAGGTCAGCCCGATTCGTATTACGACAGCCCGGTTGCCACCAGGCGGAGAAACAGCGAGGAAACGTGCCTCCCTCGTAGAAACCCTGCTGGAAACTCCGATACCACGAGCTGCTACAACTACCCCCGTCGTTACCTTTCGATTCCGCGAGGCCATCGGACGGACCCCTGTCCCCCGTTCTCGAATCATCGTGCGTACGTGGTTCAGCGACACGAATCGCGTGAAACGAATTATAATATAATATAATATATGTACTTGTACCTATAGCTGCTAGAATTCGAAACGAGGCTCAATTTAGTTAGTCGAAGTCGTCGCGGAGAGATACTAGCTTCTCGCGCGTGCACGAGTTCCCGAACATCGGGGGACCAACCCCCCGGAACTCGTGGACGAGCGACTCGCTAGGGAGCAGCCAATCCCGCGGACACATCGTGCAATTTCAACGAAAGAATCTCAGCTGAACAGCACTCGCGAGAAAAAGGGTCCGCGAAACGGACCGTGACACTGTCGAATTTAATCGAAACGGGGGTGACGTTCTCGCGCGTCCCACCCTCCGCAAACTAATAGTCAGCCGCGCGCGAGGTGTACCAAGCGGATCGTGAAAGAGTACCGTTCTAATTACGATACATAGTATATATAAACATAGAGATCTATATGCAAAATGGATATAAATATAATATATATGTGCGTGCGTGTGTGTGTAAATCGTACGACGATTGTGATTTCACCGAGGTTACCGAGTTATACGTATTTACCGTTTAGCCACAACAAACGCGGCGCCGTCAGCCGACCAAGCTATCAAGCGCTCGTTACCTTTTAGAACCGCTAGTTCGTAAGTGTGCGCAGGTGTCCATCCACGCTCAGTTTTGTCTCCTTTCTTCTGTTTCTTCCTTTTTCTTTCCTTTTTTTTTTTTTTTTTTTTTTTTTTTTTTCTCTTGGTTTCTCCGTTTCTTTTTACCCATAGTCAAATTCGAGGACCGAACGCCGATCGAGTGAAAGAGACCGTGGTCGCCTCGAAGATCGGCATCCCTTTCCTTCGGATAATCGCCCCTTCACCTTCCGTTCCAGAGATCGTTGCACCCGTCGAATGGACGCGTGCTTGCCCAGCAATGTCGATGATCTCGTCGCGAGGGCAGAAATCATAAGCTCCTTCTCGCGAACCATTCCCGTTCGCTGCTCCTACTTTTTACTCGTTTTTAACAAAAAAATCACTGTTTAGCTGCATAGTTGCGCGTCCTGTAGAATATAGTGGTGACTGTATATATGTTTATATGTAATATTCGATTTGAAAAATATATATCGATGTACACACACAGAGAGAGAGAGAGAAACGAACTTACACGTGGAAATTCATTTTAAAGAAACTCTCGTCGTACTTGCGTTTACTTTCTCCGCTCTCTCACCGCGTTCCTGCCGCCAGTACCACTCCGAACCTTTCATTAAACTCCCCATTTTTCTGTCCCTACGATGCCGCGAGTTTTTCGGTGATTCTGCGAACAGCTATCCGGAAGAAAGTTGGCCAGGCTGTTGGAACTGGCCGGCGGAGACGAAGAAGCTGCGGTTCAGATAGATCGAGTTAACGTTGCTCGAGGAACATTTATGGAAAGAGCGTTACCTAGTAGGTCCTCTGTGCTTCGTGGCCGATCGTTGAAACGTAAGAATTCGCGGAGCAACCGGTTGCCTCCGGTGCGTTTCACCGGTCGAAAATTCAGGTTCTCTGGAAGATGGGCGCGTTTTCAGAAAGTCAACGTTCCTGTCCCCTTCCGCGGGAAAAAGGGGACGCAATTAACGTGAGAAACGGTAGGTTGTCCAGGGTCATAGGTGTGTGAGAACCGGAACACACGGTGGACAGACAGGACGAAGACGTGACCGTCTGTGGGCAATGAGCAGCGAGAGATTTTTCCGCGAGTACGATGATCTTGATCTTGATTTTTCTATCCCGTACTCGTAAATCTTCTCACATATGTGCATTTCCTTTTTTGTTCCTAATTCCATTAACTATTCATTAATATGTCGAAAGAGCTCTTTTTATCGCGAATATTTTTACAGTCTTGCGCTTTTTGTCGATTAATATCAGTCAAGAATATTTATAGGGGCTATAAAGGTTTTTGCTCTTCACTGACGTGCATCTGTAATCCAATTCCTTCGGTAATCCATTTTCTTAGGCAGTATTGACACTATCACCTCATCCATCGTTGCATTTTAATGTTTATATTAACTGGAAAACATAATTTAATTCGATGAGTATCGAGAAACTGCTGCATCTGCGCAAAGAGAACCCTATCGTTCCATCGTGGTCACGGATCTAAGAAACTTCGCGGAGAAGACTCGGGATGATGTGGATTGACGCGTTTAGTAGATGCGGTTTCTCTCTTCGTGCAGCGATACCGATCCATAAATAAAGGCTCACTCATCTCAGCCAAACTTGGCCTGGAGGTGATCGTATACTCAACGAACAGGGAGACTAGGCCGCCTCAAGCTAAGTGGCTTCTTGGCCTTCCCGAGGACACGACTTTGACCCACATATCGGTAAATTACGTTCAGCACACTGCAGGTACAATTTCCAATTGTTTCAATCAAAATGACATTCAACGTGAAAAATCTCTCTAGGAAACAGCTGTACTATCCAGCGTTCGCATGCACTCCGATGAAAAGCTCGTTGATAGAAATCGTGTAGGATAATACGACAAACGAATAGCGTGAAATGTTGCAGACCTGTCGTACGAAACAACTTATTTCTATGAATACTTTGTATTTCGATATATTTGAATAGGGAGCGTATTTGGTACCGCAAATGCCAGTCACGCGAAAATTCGCGTTATCTTGGGAAACACCGTAACCTTGATAACGGTGACATTAAAAATGATTCGTCACGTGTAACCTTAGTGGTTTGGTGAATCATCGGCTATGAACAGCATCTTCTTCGGAACTGACAACAACGTATCGCCTACTTAAGAAACTTCTATATTAGCCTAAAAAAATGTTCGTGACGCACGTGCATTTATTTCAGACGATGTAAAACCGTTTGAATGAATCGAATAATTTTTCTCTACAAATAATGATAACTTCTGTATCCTTCATACGTAAATTTATTTAAAAATATCTCCTTCAAAATAGACACATCTGTGCGAAGGTAAAAATTCATGAGTTAAATTTCGCGATTTAAATTTAAAATCGCCTCAAAAAATATAGCCATACTTTTCTTGTACTCTCTCGCTGCTTTATCCTCGCGATTCGTACGTTTTAGAGTATTATCCAATGTGGAAATGTGCTAATAATATTATTTCCAAGGAATTGATTCCAGTGACCATTTCTGTTCGATGTGATTTGTACACGCTGCTATCACAGGACCCTCCCCGTCGTTTGATTGTAAACACATTCCAGAAGACACGTGTAAGAAAGCTTTTGTCTGAAAAAAGAAAAGAAGTACGGTTGTAACATTTTCTTTTCATAGTTATCAGTAAGTACAAAGGAAGATGTAAACAACACACTTGTTCGTCGTATTGCCATTTTTGCCTGTTGTGACCGCTGCACGCTATTATTTTAACCTTTGGTGTCTTGTGCTGGGTATCGTTATCAGGTGCATCTAAGCAAACGCTCTCATCGGTCATTACAACTCCCTCCGTTGTCATTACAAACATTTGACTAAGTATTGGCCGTGGAACGCACGATTCAAGGATTGCGTATCCTGAAGGTTGCGAATACGTCCCTTTCGCGGTTGGTCGCATAATACACTTCTTGGATGAAATATGCAATATCTAATACATGAATATTTAATTATTTATTCTTGAAGCTGACTAGATTGACGAGTTTGTTATTCAATAAAAATTTCAAATTTAAATTTACCCGCCCAAAAAAACGGTCATCTTTCGGAAAAAAATGTTCCGGCCATACATTATCCAAATACCAATCGAAGCTTTTGCATTGCAATTTTTTACGTAATTCCAGTCTAGATCGAACTGGTTGCTTGTCTCTTAGTCTAGCTGCCTCTAAGAGAAAACGTACGAATATAATACTTAGTCCATCTATGAAACTTGACTCTTAAGTGCTCAGTGCTCGATTACCTGCATTAAATTTGAAATAAAATTCTGCCCATTCATCCATCCAAACCAAAGCAACCCTAGCAAGATTCCCGTACAAAATCTCTCCGACACCACCTGGGAATGTATAAGGTGACGATTTCCGAAAGAGATGCCCTACATGAGAGCATGGGGCAATCTCAACGCTACCGCCACATTGCCACACTCGAAATGATAATTCCAAATTTTCACCGCCCCAAATTTTCATTCGATCATCGTAACTACCTAACTCAAAGAAATAATTTCGATTCATGGAAAATAATCCTCCAGCCATGGCAGGTGTTCTGAATGGTTCGACAATGTTTTCGCGTCTCTCTTTCAACAATCGACCGTTTAGCGTTAACCAACGGAAATGTAAATCCCAATTAAATGCTCCCCAATGCAGCTCAAACGATCTGTAATATTATAATGGTAAGTCCTTTTTATCGTAATTTGGTTACCAAAAGGTAATAAAAATAGTTATGTCTTACCGAGTGTAACTAAAAGTATCGTCATTTATTATATCAATAACGGGTGATACTACTCTAGTTTTGTTCTTGGCAACCGCTTCAAGTAAGGGTTCTAACCACCCTAAAATACATCGACATAAATATTATGACATTATACACACAACAATATTTATTGTATAAAAATATGGACAATAGAGCTTACCTACCAACCGTGCATTCACAATGTGCGTCAAGGAATGTAAGAACTTCTCCTTTGGCTTTACTAGCACCTAAGAGTCTCGCATTCACTAGACCAACACGTTTATGGGAACGCAGAACTTTAGTGGAAACTTCTAAATTCTTTACGTGTTCATCCAACGCATCTTTCAAAAAATCTAATAAAAAAAAGAAAAAAATTCAAGTAGTTTTAATGTATACATAAAAATAGTGTGAATAAGAAATGTTATTATTTACCTCTGTCACTGTTATCATCAACGAGAATAATTTCATCCAACAAATGGCTCGGAGATCTATTAATTACACTATGTACAGTCCGAAGTAATGTACTCCAAGCTTCATTATGAAAAACGATGATTATCGACGTTTTCGGTAAGTTATCCAAGTTCCTATATCGTGCGATGCATCTACAATCGGTAAATTACTTACTGCAGGTATGTTACCGATAAAGTAAGTATTCATAAGAACATTACCCTTTTCTTCGAACATCTGGTAAAGATCGATTTAACGGTATTCTATCACTAGCCATCAAATTAAATCGATTTATTTGAAAAAGCTGTTGCATTTTGTAAAAGTCTTTTGCCGGTACGAGAACCGGACTGCCATTTTTTCCCTCGAATGGCCGTGGATCAAACATATTTTTGTTAATGAGATCTACAAACAAAGGATACGTCATGAGATTGAGACCATAGCTATTAGACGCGATCCTTCATTTCGTAACTTACCTTTCGTAATGTTTGGAGTTTTCATTGGATTCACAGAATCTCCGATATAATGTCCTACAACTACGTGTATTCCTTTGCGATCTATGTAATCTCTTTGATTATCTAAAAGTCTGAATACGAAAAGATCAAAAAATAAATAAAACGTGTAATTACAACTTATTACGTTTAGAATTGTCTTTGTTAGCAAAAGCTACTAATTGTTACTTTAAAAAAATTAAATATATATGTAAAAGTTTTAACTGAAGGATTTTGTAATCACTCACCGAAGTGAAACGTAATCGTTACGAGGATCATCATCCTCTCGTCTTTTCCATGACCAAATAAAAAATAGTCCCATCAACAAAACAATCAAAAGAATGATTGACCACGCGCGACATGATTTTCTCAGTCGTGGCCACATCGTGATCGTCGGAAAGAATGCTAAGTTTAACTAATTTTGAAAATAATCCCATTTATCTCATTATAGAATAATTAACTGTTATCGTAAAGTTGGACTTCCGTTATCACATACTTCTCATCCCGGGTCATCATAAGAAAAAGTTCTAACGTCTAGTTTGAACTGTGAAAAATTGCGAAAATCAGAATATGTGTGTATATATTAATACTATTTAACATTTTAGAAAAAAGAAGAAATTTATATTTACTTTAGTATTATTTAAATTACAATAAAAATAAAAATAAATCAAAGATATAACAAGGTTTTTAAAATTTATAATTGTTTTTATGTTTTACCTGAATTTGTATGAAAACTGCATCACAGATTCTACCGGTAGAACACACACAATGTTTGGAATAAGCTCAGGTATGTATCACTAATAAGCATAAGTTAACGAGAAAATAATTTTCTCTATTGTTTCTTTATTATATATGATGAATATCACGTTTTAATAAAAAAATTATTATTTCACCAGAGGAATTACTCTTGTCAATTACTTATTATTCTATTAAATTGAAGACGCTGAACAGAAATTATCGTGTTCATACTGCCACAGATCCGACAACTAAAATGAATTCCAAGGAGTTAGGACGCTATGAATAAGACAGTGCTGTATCAAAACAATTTGTAACCCTATACTTTTAATTAAATATATATTTTTTGGTGAAAATATTTCAATAAAAATAGGAGTCGTTACATGGCTGAAATTTTCATATTTCATGTAACGAAGTAACACCAATTACATCTATAATATTTCCAATATAGATATTGTTTTATATATTCAACCTTGTACGTCTTTCCACATATTTCACATTTCAGATCAGAAATCAGTGTTTTATACAATTTATAAGGTACAAATAAAGTTAGAAAAACTGAAAATCAAATAAAGTTATATAAATATCTTTTGTTAGTAATAATCTTTCGAATTAAATATTGAAAAAGAATTAAAGAGAATAAGAAGAGGTAATAGCAACTAAATAACAATTGAAATCGCGGTATATATTATCCTGCGTATAATTTTTACGTAGGTTTTCAAAACTGCCAATATTGATAAGTATTTACATTGAGAAAAACTTCGTAATACGGTCTACTCAAGAGATATACCTCATTCAGATGAATTCATTAGGAAAAAGAAACTCTCGTGCGTGTATACTGTTATAAATAAAAATTACGTTAGAATTATTATCAAAGAAGGTATAATCAAGGTTATTTCTAGACAGAAATATATTTTTCCTGTCTTTTTTGCGTACAAATTTGACGAAAACGAATCATCAGAGTAGACCGTACTAATGTATCACGAATACCGAAGAGGTCAGCACTATTCTCAACGCACGGTTCGCCACGTTGGAAGAAGTTGACGGGTGATTATTGCTTGTTTGACGTTAGGGATTTATTTCTGTAAAATACACTTAATTACTGTTAATTTGTTACACTAAGGTGAGGATATATTATTCAAGTAAACTATGAACTCTCTGTTTCATTTTAAATGAACTGCACATCATAAATATACACGTGTTTCGATTTGATAGGAATAGAGCGCTGAACCTACGAATCGAATGTGATGCATGTACAATATTATCATTTATATCTATAAAGTTTGTACTGTGACAAGAGTGTTAAATCAAAGCGTACGTTATTGACATGTATTGAAATGTATTTGCAGTTGTTGGAAGCAAAGTTCTTAAGGAAATATACCTATCTTCTGAAAACTGTCTTTAAATTTTTCTATAAATGTTCTTATATAAGTTTATTTGTGATAGTTTAAGTAATTTTTAAAAATATGAGATAAAATTGGCTAATAATACATCTATATTTCGTTAGAATATCATTGTGTATTATCTATTTAGTTATAGAAGGTTAGATATTTCCTTGTTAAAAAATATAATTGCACACAGAAAACTAAGGATGAAGATAAAGGAGTTATTGAAGACTGTCAATGTAGCATGGTCACCACCTGCTCAGCATCCCATATTATTAGCTGCAGGAACTGCAGCTCAACAACTTGATGCAAGTTTTAACACATCTGCTAGCTTGGATTTATATTCTTTAAATTTACAACAACCTGGATATGATTTGGGACTTAAAACCAGTGTTGCAAGTGACCATAGGTTAAAGAAAAATTCTGTTTATGCATATATGTATATTATTAAGTAATTAACAAAATTTCACATGCATATGAAAATTTTAGATTCCATAAAATAATATGGGGTTCATATGGTAATAATCCAGCTGGTATAATTGTTGGAGGTTGTGATTATGGCATGATAAAAATTTATTCAGCTGCTAAAATGTTGGCCAATGATAACAATTATCTAATAAGTAGTTCAGATAGACATACAGGTCCAGTTAGAGCACTTGACTTTAATCCCTTTCAAGCAAATTTATTAGCAACAGGTGCAGCAGAAAGTGAAATTTATATATGGGATATTGTTAATGCAAATAGTCCAATGACTCCTGGATCTAGAAGTCAACCATTGGAAGATGTTCAACATATTGCTTGGAATAAGCAAGGTATCTTTTTAGTAGTTATATCATTAAAATATTTATAATTGAAACATAAATATAATCATATAAAAATGACACTTTTTTTTTCATTTTTCTTTTTCTCTACAGTGCAACATATTCTTGCCTCTACATTTTCACAACGTTGTGCTATATGGGATTTAAGAAAAGATGAACCTATTATCAAATTAACAGATGCAAATTCAAAAGTACTTTGATTTCTTATGTATATTTGATCTTTACATTTTACTTGCAACATTATAATTTTTATATCTGTATGTAAATAAAGGTAAGATGGAAAGTGGTCCAGTGGCATCCAGATGTTGCAACACAATTATGCCTAGCATCAGAGGATGATCAAGCACCTGTAATTGAATTATGGGATTTAAGATTTGCAACATCACCTTTGAAAACATTTCAAAATCATCAACGTGGAGTTTTATCAATTGCATGGAATCCACATGATCCAGATTTACTCCTAAGTTGTGCCAAAGATAATAGAATATTATGTTGGAATCCTAACTCAGATGCACCGGTATGTTTAGCAGTAATTTTTAGCAGTAAATTGACAAATAAATTTATATAATTACTGTTTTAATCTTATATTTATTACATTAACAGAATGGTGAGGTAATTTGTGAATTAGCGCAGACAAATCAATGGAATTTTGATGTCTCATGGTGTCCAAGGTATCCAGGATTAGTTGTAGGAACTAGCTTTGATGGACATGCAGCAATTTATTCTTTATTAGGAGGACAAAAACAAATGTCTGTAGAAACGTCAAAGAAAATTGTAGATTCGTTTCCTGGAATGGATCCTTTTACACACCCACCTCCTCCTGTACAGACAGAACCAACAGTTGTCCTTACAAAAGCTCCAAAATGGTTAAAAAGACCATTTGGAGCATCCTTTGGTGTAAGTATCTGTTTTTAAAATACATGGTACCTACCAGATTTTATAATGTTATATTATTAAATTTGTGATCTGTTATAAGAACAGTAAACTCTTTTTAGTTTGGTGGTAAATTGGTAATATTTGAAAATGGACCTGTTGATCCTAATCTACCTCCAAACTCAAACAGGAAAGTGATCATATCACAAGTAGCTACACAACCTGATTTAATTCAGCGTTCATACGAGTTGGAGGATGTTATTAGAACTGAGCAGTATAGTGACTATTGCAAAGGAAAAGTTGAGAAAACTACTGATATATATAGGAAAAAGATATGGAACTGTGTATGTGCATATTTTGGTGAAAATGTAACGAAAGATATATTGGATTTACTTGGTTATGACATAGAAACAATGAACAACAAATTAAATCAGCTTGTATCACAAGAAGACATTAGTAATATTACAGAAGGAGTTAGTAATATGAATAATGTAAGTTCCATGTTATACTATTCAAAGAACATTTGCAAAGTAAGTATATATTATATAACATATTTTGTTATTTGTTCAGGTACTTAATGGAAACATTGTTGATGGAAGCACAGCATTTGATGCTATTGCACAAGAATCGAAGAAAGCATCAATGGCTACTCTGAAAAACAAAAATATTCAAATAAATGTGTCTGATGGTAATTTTATAATCATATATTTTAAATATTTTTATTATACATAATGACAAAATGTTATTTTGCTATGTTACAGATGAGGATGGGCTTATAACTCAAGCAATCCTCTTAGGAAATATAGAAGCTGCTGTGTCTTTGTGCTTTGCAAATAAAAGGTACGCAGATGCAGTCATTCTTTCAATGGCTGCTGGACCTGATTTGTTAGCACGTACCCAGTACAGATACTTTTCAGAACATTCTGGAGCTCTCAATTCTCTTATCAATTCATTAGTTAGTGAAAATTGGGCTGAGGTTGTTAACAATGCTGATATAAATTGCTGGAAAGAAGTGCTAATTGGAATATTTACTCATTCCAATCCACAAGAGCGATCAGCTTTATGCGGTACATATCGTATTATAAAGTAGTGTTAGAACTATAATAATATAAAATATTTGACACCCATCTTTTGTATTTTATAGATATGCTAGGAGATCGTTTAGTATCATCTGATAATCCAACGCTTAAAGAACAGGCACAAATTTGTTATATTTGTTCTGGCAATTTGAATAAAATGGTTGAATCCTCCAATGTTGAAATTCAAGAAACAGTAGAATTAGTAGTTATTATGAAAAAAGCCTTAGAAATGCAAGGTATTAGAGACGTGCAAATAGAAGGAAAGATCGCTAATGTGTTATCTCGCTATGCTGAAATGTTAGCAGCCGAGGGAGATCTCGATGCTGCATTCATTTATCTTGAAAACAGCCAAGATGAAAAAATTGTAATGTTGAAGGATCGTCTGTGCAGAGCTTTGGGTTATATTGAAGAAACAAAAGTCATGCCAAAAGGGCCGGCGATGCAAAATTATTATGATCGATCAAGAAGACCTATGCAAAGTGTACAAAATCCATTATCTGCTGGTTCAACAAGACCCTTTTTTGATTCAAATGTTGCTCCTACGAAACAATCTTTTGTACCACCTCCAAATCAATTTAATCAACAACAACAATCATTTGGAATATCTCCCCTTCAACCTCATGTGCAATCAGTGCAATCTATGCAATCTATGCAATCTATGCAACCTATGCAACCTATGCAATCTATGCAAACTATGCAATATGATCAAACACCTCATTCTTATACTTCAACATCTATGTCTCAACCACCTCCACCACCACCTGCTTCGAGTATATCCAGTGGTGTTGGATCTCGTCCATCTAGTGTCGGACCTCAAACGAGATCAAAATATATAATAGATCCATCTGTAAAGTCTACGTCGGCATACGGACAAACTGGTTATCCTCAACAACCATTGTCATATAATAATCAACAAATTCCTCCAATGCCAGGCTATTCTTCATCAAATATGTATCAATCACAAGTTCCTATATCTGCAAACACATACCCTGGACAAAATTTTATATCTAATTTAAAAGAAATGGAAACTTTTAAACCAGTTCCACTTAATACGTTAACGCCGTTACAAAATCCGTCGCAAAGCCAAATGTATGAACCAATTAGAACGCAGCCAATTCCACAGACTCAAGTTTATGGAAGCGAGAATCAACCACCTATGGAACGGTCAAACATCTATCAACCGCCGCTACAACCTGCCGGATGGAACGACCCACCAGCTGCAAAACCATCTAGAATGCAAGTAAGTATCATTATTTTTTTCTTGTTCTTAACTAATGTACCTAGTGTTAGGCGTTAAAATGTTAATTAGTTATGTATAATAACTTTATAATATATATCTATCTATATATATATATGTATGTATCTATATGTATGTACATTCAAATAATGTAGCCAGTACTGGCATTATGCAACAAAAATGAAATGTCTGCGGATCATGCTGGTACCAGGAAGTGGAAAGCAAAATATTTGAAGAATATGAATATAAAGGTAGAGACCTAAAAAAGATTGAGTGCCGTTTCCACTGTTTCATAATTGCTGTTTATTTTGAACAAAATATATTTATTCCCCTTAAATATCTTCAATTTAGTAAACTGCGAATAACCATTTCGTGTGATATTATATTAACTAATGCAACAGTGTGAAATACAAGGTCGTTTACAACTGCTTCATACAAAAGTTGTATCGTGCGATATTACATTTTATACTTCACATATGAATCATTTCGTCGTTGTAATTAATACGGAAATATTTGTTTTAATGTAATATTAAATTTTTACAGTCTAAACAAGAGTACCAGCCACAAAACCCGATTTTGCATCCTTTAAGAGGATCGGTACCAGAATCAAACGTAAGTAACATGGCTAACATTTTTTTGAAATTATAAAATACGATTCTATTTCTTTTTTTTTTTTCTTTTTGTTGTAGATTTTACCTCAAGAGAAATTTTATCCAGATTCACAAGTACCTTATAATCCACAGCAATACAATCAGAATATACCAAATATGAGTACTCAATTTTCTAAACCAATGGAGCATCCACAATCAGCCCCAAATATCAGAGCGCCGGAACCGGAAAAACCAAAACCACCGATACCAGAACAACATTTGCACTTGAAAACAGTATTTGACGAATTAAAAAATCAATGCTTTGAGAATGCTAAAAATCCAGTAAGATAATTCCTCACATTTATAAGTATAATGCACTTTATTACAGTACAACAAATATCATCAATCATGTTTTTTTCTTAGCAAATTAAACGTAAAATTGAAGATGTATCCAAAAAGCTCGAAGTTTTGTATGATTGTCTTAGAGAGAATAAGGTATGTACTTTCTTTTTTTTGTGTGTATGTGTATTACTATTGGTCTCAAAGATACTTACAAACATATTTATTGTATATATATTATAGTTGTCGCAAAACACTTTACAAGGATTGCATCAAGTATCACAGATGATACAAGGTGGAAACTATACTGGTGGTTTAGATATTCATACACAATTAGTGTCAGGCCCTGATTTCAGCCAAATATCTTCTTTCATGCCTGGTATCAAAGTATTATTGCTAAGTGCCCTTCAATTGAATGTTTATATTAGATAGAATGCAATACATAATGTCCAAGATGTTCACATTTATTAATTTTTATAACTTGAAATTTTTATAATCCTTAACAGCTTTATTAAATGAAATATTTATGTTACATTAACTTTCTATACTATTCAGTGCAGTACGGATAGCCATAGATATTTGTATATAAACTTTATGACTGAATTATATTATCAACAAAATCATAATGTTTATATATTTACATTTAAAGGTGGCTTGTCGGTATTAGATAAGCTTATATCATTACACCTGTACAAGTAAGAAAACTCATATATAAAACGCATGTAAAAAATAGAGAAAATATTCAAATAGAGAATATTTCAATATCTCCGCGAATTGTTAATCAAATTTTTTTTTTTTTTTCAACTAATATATGTACATAAAGTATTAAAGTTGGCTTAAGGAAATCATGTGTATATTTTTAAATAAAAAATTATATAATAATTTTATTAAAATTATGTATTAAATTTGTTGATGAAAATAATGTTAAAGGTATTTATTGAATAATTAAACTGTGTAGTATAGCAGTTTTTTCATTGATAATGAATTTTTGTAATAACTCATCTAATGAATCGATGCCATCACGGGCTGCTTGTCGCCGCATCGCTTGTTTCACTTCTTCCCGCACTCCTTTGTCTGCTCCACGAGTAGTAATACGTCGATCTATGATATTTTTATATAAACATATTACAAATAAATATAAAAATCTGGTATTTAAAACATGTAACATCACGTACTTTGTAAGATTCCCGACCCTGTAGCTATATCTAAAGATACACCACCTCCATGTTCTGTCCATAGATACGTTAATTCTTCTAAAATGTCTACACAAATAATATAAGCTTGAAATAATGGATAAGAGAAAGATCCACGATTAATAATTCTTTCTGTAATTGTGGATAAAGTACTAGCTTCTTGTGGCCAATCAATTTGCATTAAAACTAATGCATGTCCTATAGCCAAATCTCCAACACCTCCAGGTAAAGAGAAATTTTCCTATTGTACAATACGTATTATAAATGTAAGAATAGAATTAAAACTTTCTTAATTATAACATTGTGTTAATTACCTTTATTGCTAAAAGAAGTAGCCTGCAACAATACTGTATAATAGGAAATCGTGCAAGTGTCACGTAATGTAAATGTCTTCCACATGGAACAGTTAAATTATGAGACACTTTACCGCAACTCGAGGGTAATGCGGTAACTACTAAAACTATATATTCTAACATTCCCTGGTAAAATATTACGTATTTAAATATATTTTAAAGTAATCGAAATATGTACCTATGTATATATGTGTATATATAATGTAACAATATGAGAATACATAATGTACCTTATAATCTTTCAGGAAAAAACATGTACTTGCTAAGCGGAGATGAGCCGATAAATTAGCTGCTTCTTGAGATAATCTCGCTAACACTTCGTGATGTAAACCTTTATACATTGCTAAATCCGTTAAAAATGAATTTAGCCACGAATCTAACCGAAGTTGTTGATTTAGCTTTCCTATTTCTCTTTGTAAATAATCACTGCTATGTAATAAATCCCATAACTTTACAGCTAATGCCAATCCATTACCATTATAATCACCATCACTAGTTACTATAATTCCTCCATTATCTTCTCTTTTCCGTTTCTTCAATTTCGGTTCTAAATATAATAGAAATGATTAAATTATGACTGAAAATGAAAACGCTATATATTATAAGTTATATTTTACCTGTAGGGGAGTGTGCATATTCTCCAAATGCTTCTACCAGGCAGTATACTGTCTCATCATTATTAATCAATGCATTATGTTCATTTAATATCCTTAGTAACACTACAACAGTGCACATTAACAGCTGTCTAACTACCAATTCTTCGCATAAACTACCAGAATGTGCTACTGCATATTGGTGCAATCTTTCACAGAATGTATCTCTGTTCCAAGTCATAGAAAATAAACTACTTAATTCCCACCCTAACTTTTTCCCTATTAACTCAACAACTTGAAATAGTCTATCCCAGGGATGTTGAATTTGATTATCTTGCGGTTGTTGTATGTATGCTAAATAAAATTCTACTGCCTTACAAAGTAATCTCAAGCTAAGTCTTGAATTTAGCTCTACCGGTGCTGTACCAAGGAGTGGTAATGCATCACAGGCCAATAATTTTCTGAAACCATTTACTGCGCGTCCTGGATGACTGTGTTTCTCAGCAGTAAGAAGAGTTTCTACTAAACGTGGCTATAAATAAGTAGATTAAGGAATAGATTATAAACTAAGAAATATTATAAATATTACAAATATATTAATTAACTATATTTACCCCATGAGTAGCAATAGTTTGTGGGAATCTACGTAATAAAAGAAGCAGTAATTTGCAATGTTCCATTGTATCTTCGCTATGATCTGCAGTCATAATAAGCAGTCTGTGTTGTAGTTCTTGCGGTATATGTTGGAACATTTGACATAAAAATTCTGCTTCAGGATCACATTGTTCTAAACGAAGACAAGCTGTTACTGTTTCTATTTCCTTCCATATATCACGGTCATCTGGAAAATTCTGAAATCTATTCCTACATTTAAATATTTGTTTGCATATAGGTGAAGGATATTACATAACGTAAATACTTACATTTCACTAAAACATTTGGCTGCTTCCTTGACATTTTTTGAAAGTTTCTCAATTCGATAAGCTTCAAACTAGTAAACAAACAGCATAACTTATTGTAAATTTATTTGTTTATTAAATAATACGTCTTAGAATAGTAACGATAATTTAATTCTATAGAATAAATTGTAAATCGTGAATCGAATATTACATTAACCAAGCTAAATGAAGAAAATATTTTCTGTAGCATACGAATATTAATTAGTATACATTAAGGAGAATAACCTGAACTTTCGCACTATGAGGAAACAATGATCTAGCAGTAGTTAACCACGATTTAGCTGCATAAATATCAACTGGTAACGCATCTTTCGCACGTTTAATTAAATAATCTTCTTTGGATAACTGACCGTTATCTGTACTAGATGTTTTTTCTAACATATTTCAAATTATTTAATAGTATTTACAGAAAGAAATAAAGACAAGTAAACATAGCTTTGTTGAAAGAAACATTAAATATCCATAAAATGTATAGATGGCAGTATAGTAGTCCTTAACCTTTAAAGTCAATTATTTACATATGTACGTATAAATATTTGATAATCCTTTTACTAATCCCTTAACTTTGAACTATTTTAAATTCAAGCTCAAATTTGAAGGCATTTGTAACAAGTTTGAATTTACAGGCGTTCCTTTTAAGTTTAAAAAATACAAGACATAATAACCGTGTACATTTATTTCATTAATCAAGTTTAAATACGATTTCATACTGAATTTACCATTTGTAGTAACATCACACCAGACAGATTTCTACTTCATCGACTACAAATAAGGATACGAATCTTTTACCGCAATACGGTAAGAAGCTTTAAAGAACTCACGCTTAAAAACGCGATAATTTGCTCATATTGTAAACTAGGCATGTTCGATCATAGACAATTCGTTGGAAACGTATTAAACTTGTATCCTAAAAATAAATGTCTCGAGCATTTTACAATACGGAAACTTTATCCCGTTTCCAATAATTATCGAAACTCATTAACCGGCAGGACTAAAAAGTTTCAAAAAGATTCTCAACGATCATCGACGAGAATATAATATAGTAAATCCCGTGAGTGATAAAAGCTGTCACTTTTCCATACACCCTAGAGTGGTTCCATTTATAAAGATATAACAGGGAGCACTTTGAGGTGGGAAAATCCGCTTTACTCCACAACGCAGATTCTGTTGCAACTTTGGCCAAAGCTTCCTTAAGTGGTTATAGCGCTTTGGCTTTGTATCTCGTGGCTTTCCGGATTCCAATAGAGTACCGGAAATAAACCACCATTAACGCGCCATTTCTACTTTACGCGACAAAATAAAGTCTTTCGTCGCCATTTTCTCTTTCGAAAATCGCTTAAGAACATTATACTCGTCGTTAAATTTGAATAACCTTTTCGTACACGAATAGACGTAAAATTTCCGCGAAAACAATGATTTTCCCTCATTTTGACAAATTTTCAAAGATTCATCCATTAACTGCGTTCATAAAGAGTGAGAAAATTATTTGTTTTGGTCAAATGAGGAGAAACTACAGCTCCCGCCAATTTCAAATCTCGTTATGGTGGCGTTACACGTACGCCCTTACAACTCCAAATTGCAACATTTTTAAAATATAAAGAAAATTCTTTTTATATTTTCATAATTACTTAATAAAAGCTCATAGTTACCAGAATGATCACGTTAATACTTTGGTCAGAAAAAAAAAAATACCCAAAGATACGTACATTTTCAGCCTTCTACACCAGGATCCCCGCTTAATTACCACGTTCATTTAATTCTATACCAAGTGCCTCTCCACGCATATGAACACGCACGTACGAGTTTACGTACCTTCGGTTTACACATTTCCCGTAAAACGTTAAAGAAATCATTCTTGTCTACCGTTCGTTTATGCGATGCAGGGAGTAGCAAAGGAACATGTAAATTCCATGCAGTGGAATGATTTCGAGCGGAGAACCACGCGGGAATGGTAAGGATATCGTATTCGTCTCCAACTAAATTTTGCGTCTACGAAGTGGTTAGGGGATGCACACTCTGTGGTTGTGTTTGTTACCCTCTGTCTCGGTGCCTCTCTCCACCCCTTCAGCCACAATGGCATTAAAATTACCAAGGAAATTCAATTCCCAGTTGGAAATGTATCGCGCACGTGTAGGTCATAGTCGTATAGACGATGCCGAGGGTAACGTAGGTAAAAGACAGGGACGTCGAATCACTGGGTTCCATCCCGTGAATTTCAACGTCTTTGCTTCGCGCAATTTTCCTGCAGTTTACTCGTTATTTGCTACTCGAATTAGAATAATTGGCAGCTTTGGAAATTCATCGCGACACTCCCCCGTCGACAATTTACGCGTAACAATCGCGACTTACCGGAAGAAATGTACAAAATGGACGATATTTCGGTTCATTTTCTCACATTTACACATCAATGTCGCGCAAATTCCATATCGCGAGGGGATAGGAAATTCGTAGGAATTCAAATTCGGGAAGATTCGAAATGACGAATCGCGAACCAACAGCTAGACGTCCCTGGCTGAAGCGATATAGAAAAGCGTATAACACACGCATAGCTCGCGTACGTACGCGAACCCGCTGTGGATAGCTTAGGTTGGTTAGTTAGCGTGCAAGTACACGTATCAAAGGCACTCAGAATCCGAGCTTAACAAAGCCAGCTTTGGGTTTACCAACCGTGTCACGTAGTACGTGTATACCTTACCTGCTCACGCTTCGCAAAACCTAAACCTCCTGTGGCCCGTCTAACTTTGGTCTTAATGCGTCAACGGGGAGGGATAAGTTTCGTCGGGGCAATTAAAACTAATTATTCCCGTCCGCGGTGGCATCGGCTAACCGAGGGACCCTTGCGGCCCGATCGTTCGTAATTATATACCTCGCAATTGGAATCTCGTTAACCGTGAATTTATAGAAAACACTTCGGGGAATTAATTGACCGTGATTGAATTAGCCGCGTAAACCAGCCCTCCTTAGCCGAAGTTTCGCGTCGAGCACCGAAAATCCATCGATCAAGACACGGGGTGTTTTTCACAACCCTTTGTCCGAGAAAAAATAATTACAAAGTTACACCTTTCCACGCGAGATCTCGATCCTTGAAGTATGTTTCACAGCGATTCCTAGATCAGGTTCAAGATGGGATATTTTTCGCTTATCTCTGACGAGATATCGACTTGGAAAAATAATTTTTCGCTCGCGAGACGTTAATTGGAATATTTTAATTTTTTTCTAAGTAAAATAATTGATTCATTTATTTTATGGGTCATCCATGTCTATACGTGTCAATATAGGAAACGCGCGAAAGATGGCGACGATTCTGCAAATTATTTAACTTTAAACGGGGTACGGTATACTTTAAAAATTCTTAGATGCAACTAATCCTTCTGACATTTGCGGACTGACTAATTGACTCGTTACGACTAACGTCACCAACAATAGTCCTCCTTCCCCCGCCATCTGATTATCCTAATTACTACTTGTCATAGATCACGGATCTTGAAAAATGTTTTACCAGTTTGTAAAAACTGGAAAGAACGGCGATTTTGCAATTCCGTTTGAAGCGAAACCGTGCGCGGCGATACTCGCGTCTTTGTGAGACCGTGTAACATAATAGCCGCCATAAGGCTGACTGAATTTGAAACAGATTAGCGTGACGCGTCCAGGTACGGTGGTGCGTTCGTATCGCAAAAGCACTCGGAGATAGCATCGCGAATCTAGCACGCTCGCACGAGCGTCGCACGATGGGGTATGACGGGGGTATCGAAAATTTCAAGCCAAATGTGCAACTAAGTAGCTACTTAGGTCCCATTTGACGCAGGGGATTGAGATCGTATTTGAATGGGAGATTTAGCCGGCGGATTTTCGTCCCGAATTGAGCCATTGTGCCATTTAAACCGGCCACCTGACGGCTCTTGACACGCCACCGTTTGCCTTTCTGCATTTTAAATACGCTCCTCCTCGAGTCTCGTTGTCACCCGTGAAACGCCGTCTCGCGATTCGCGAATCTCCGGCAAATCGGTAGCGAACGAGGCAGAAATTACGCGTGGACATGCCCTGGCAGCTGTCTCGATTACTTTTTCCAAGCCACGGCGTCAATCTGCCCTAAAGCACAACACGACAATCTAATAGCCGATTCCACGCCCAAAAAATTAGCTCAAATGAATAAATACGATCCCGGTGGGTCGAGAAAGTATTGACGGAGCCGTCTGCACGGAAGGTCCTCCGTTGGCAGAATTTCGGTGACATTTTCTTGCACGTAATTACGGAGTTAAAGGGAAAATTGCAGGAATTTGTACGAGACGTACGAGCGTGGAACGATTATAAGGATATTAATGGCGATGTTGATACAGAGAGGCTAAAGAAGATAGCTCGATGGACGATATTTTATCGAGAAACGGAGGATGTTTTGGCACCCCAACGCGCAGAAACGGCACCCCTCTTGTAATACACGGCACCCCATCTATCGAATTATTTTGATTCTGCGATAATTCACCCCGCCTAATACGGCATCCCCTCCTCGTCGGAGCCAACTGCGGGGGAAAAGGCGATTCGGGCATTTTGATGGAAATTCGAAAACACGACGCGACGAAGGCGCTCTGCCGGTCTCTCTCAGAATCCGTGTGCAGAGATTAGTGGGATTTATCGGCGCGACCGCAGCGGATAGGCGATCGAGAGGCGTTACGCCATTGAAACGTCAGCGTTGTTACGACACGACCGTACATTAATGGTTTCGTGTAAATCTGCAGATAAGGCCAACCCTTTGCCTGTCTCACGGTGCTAGAGCGACTGAAAATTCTCCACGCGAACGCTGAAAAATCCGTGACTCCAGCGTGTACCGATCGGATTGACGCTTCGTTGCACGCCGGATGGAAGCAATGCCCTTAACGCGATTGCAGCGATTCGTCGAATCCTTGACCCATGTCGAATCGGTGGCGGATTCGTGCGCTCGATTCCGATGTAATTTTTGGAAAGTATACAGCCGGAGACGCGATAATCCGCCGTGGCCGGTATTGTCGGCGCGAAATTGAATTTCGTCAATTAGATTTTGGGTGTTTACGGTTGGTTAGGCCGCGTACTAGGCGGCACAATGGACGAGAGTACGTTTCCTGGACAGCTGTGTCGAGTGTCCGCCTCGATACGTACTCTTTTGCCCCGACGCCACCCTCGTGGCTCTCCGACCGATTCTCGCATTATTATAATGTGGCCTCGGGCCTGATTTTACCGGATCACGACGCCGTGTCTAATTCATTGTCCGTCTTTGCCCCAGTCGCGAGCGGTTCGACTAATTGGCAGCGAATTCTGTTCCGATCGTTCGTGAAACGTCTTCGTGACATCGTAGATCGTCGATCGCGTCCGCGGAAAGCGCGTCCACGAGTTCCCGAGACGGGGTGAATCCCGAAGGAAA